GGAGATGTCCTGTCTAAGGGCAATGTGTGGTGTAAATATTATGCAGAAAATTCAGAGTGTGGAAATTAGGAAAAGGTGTGGAGTTAATAAAAGTGTTAGTCAGAGGGCAGAAGAGGGGTTGTTGAGGTGGTTTGGTCATTTAGAGAGAATGGATCAAAGTAGAATGACATGGAAAGCATATAAATCTATAGGGGAAGGAAGGCGAGGTAGGGGTCGTCCTCGAAAGGGTTGGAGAGAGGGGGTAAAGGAGGTTTTGTGGGCGAGGGGCTTGGACTTCCAGCAAGCATGCGTGAGCGTGTTAGATAGGAGTGAATGGAGACGAATGGTACTTGAGACCTGATGATCTGTTGGAGTGTGAGCAGGGTAATATTTAGTGAAGGGATTCAGGGAAACCGGTTATTTTCACATAGTAGGACTTGAGTCCTGGAAATGGGAAGTACAATGCCTGCACTTTAAAGGAGGGGTTTGGGATATTGGCAGTTTGGAGGGATATGTTGTGTATCTTTATACATATATGCTTCTAAACTGTTGTATTCTGAGCACCTCTGCAAAAACAGTGATAATGTGTGAGTGTGGTGAAAGTGTTGAATGATGATGAAAGCATTTTCTTTTTGGGGATTTTCTTTCTTTTTTTTTGGGTCACCCTGCCTCGGTGGGAGACGGCCAACTTGTTGAAAAAAAAAAAATATTATATATGAAAAACCGAGTTCTCCATGAGGAAGTAGAACAGAATTCTTCCTTTGTAAGCCATGTGTGTTGTAAGAGGTGACTAAAATGCTGAGAGCAAGGGGCTAGTAACCTGTTCTGTATAAAATACTAAATTTAAAAAAAAAAAAATTGTTTTTCACATTAAAACTTTTGTTTTTCTTTTTGGGCCACTCTGCCTCGGTGGGATACGGCCAGTTTGTTGAAAGAAGAAAGAAAAACAGAGCACATATGTAAAAAGAAAAAGAGAGGGTAATAGAATGGTGAGGGTGTGCAAAAAAGAGGAGAACCAACAAGAGCATGGGTCAGACTCTTATCATCAAATTCTGCTGAGAATAAAAGTTTTGGAGGGAGAATACTATGTTGAGAAAGCCTGCAGAGCAAATAAACTTAACAGTTAAAATCAAAAGAGGAGAGATATTAGATGGGGAGGTGGAGGCGCTGCGAAAATGGAGGAAATATTTTGAGGAGCGGTTAAATGCTAATAGTAAGATTTGCCAGGAAACAGGACAAGTATGTCCTGATGTGGGTCTTAGTCATATGATGACCCCTAGCCGAGCTTTTGGTCGTCTGACCGAGGCCTACCACTGGCTTACTGGTCCACCTCTTTAAAAGCCATGGTTATCATTATAACCATTAGAATCTAAATGCTTATGAAGGTTGAAATTTCATGAATCATATAGGGAGAAATAACATCTTATAGAAGCTTACGACAAAGTTTTATTGTCTTGGACCATTTACTATTGTGGGTGGTGCACTGAGATATACGTGGAAAGTTTATCTATGGAGGCAAACAACGGAATGTACCAGAATATAGCGGCACCAACTCTTTTATATGGATGGGAGGTATTGGTTTTAAATATTGCAGCAAGGAGGAGGCTGGAGGTAGTGGACTGGTTATATCTGAGAGCAATGCGTAGGGAGACTATCATGCAGAAAATTCAGAGTGTAAAAATTAGAAGGCAGACAGGGATTGAGGAAGGGTTACTGATAAGTATGGGAATTTAAAGAGGATGGAGCAGAACAAGAATCCACAAGGGTGTATATATCTTTGGTGGAAGGAAGGGAAAATTAGGTGTCATCCCAGGAAGGAAGGGAAGGAGGAGGTGAAGGAGGGGTTAAGTATGTTTCAAGTGCAAGAGCTCTAAGCATTCAGCAGGCTTGTGTTAACAGATTGGATTGAATGGAGACAAGTGATTATTATGGCTTGATGTGCTGTTGGAATGCAGTACTGACAATGTCAGTAAACAAATGACCTGCTATGCTGGCCATTTGTTTACTAACAAACACAAATACAGGTGCTCGTAAACATACGATGGGGTTATGTTCCGATGAACCCACCATAAGTCAAACAATTTTGTTTTTCAACATGTTGGTCATCTCCCACAGAGGCAGGGTGACCCAAAATGAAAGAAAATCCCCAAAAAGAAAATACTTTCATCATCATTCAACACTTTCACCTCAAATATTCAAATTCAAATTTCAAATTCAAATTTATTTCTTTGCAAGTAGTACGCTGAGGTTATGTATTTTCAAAAATGGGTTGCAGTGCAAAGAGAGCCTCTATTATGCCTAGGCATTATGGGTCGACTTAATTTAATGGCTTACTGACTACTTAACACTAGAGAAATTTATCATAGTTGTACAATAGTTCTATTTATTATTAATGAATCTAATTTATATAAACAACCGCCCATGGAGGTACTACCGTCCTGCCAAGTGAGTGCAAAACGGAAGCCTGTAATTGTTTTACATGATGGTAGGATTGCTGGTGTCCTTTTTTCTGTCTCATAAACATGCAAGATTTCAGGTACGTCTTGCTACTTCTACTTACACTTAGGTCACACTACACATACATGTACGAACATATATATACACACCCATCTGGGTTTTCTTCTATTTTCTTTCTAGTTCTTGTTTATTTCCTCTTACCTCCATGGGGAAGTGGAACAGAATTCTTCCTCCGTAAGCTATGCGTGTTGTAAGAGGCGACTAAAATGCCGGGAGCAAGGGGCTAGTAACCTCTTCTCCTGTATATATTACTAAATGTAAAAGGAAAAACTTTCATTTTTCCTTTTGGGCCACCCCGCCTCAGTGGGACATGGCTGGTTTGTTGAAAGAAAGAAAGAAAGAATCACTGTCTTCACAGAGGAGCTCAGATACAACAGTTTAAAAGTCAATCTCCAAACTGCCAATATCCCAAACACCTCCTTTAAAGTGCAGGCATTGTACTTCCTATTTCCAGGACTCAAGTCCAGCTCTAACCAGATTAATTTTCCCTGAATCCCTCCACGAAATATTACTCTGCTCACACTGCAACAGCTTGTCAGGTTCCAAAAACCATTCGTCTCCATTCACTCCTATCTAACACGCTCACACATGCTTACTGGAAGTCCAAGCCCCTCGTCCACAAAACCTCCTTTACCCCCTCCCTCCAACCTTTTTGAGGATGACCCCTACCCCACTTTCCTTCCCTTACAGATTTATACACTCTCTAAATCATTCTACTTTGATCCATTCTCTCTAAATGACCAAACCACCTCAACAACCCCTCTTCAGCCCTCTAATACTTTTAGTAACTCCACACCTCCTCATAATTTCCACTCCTAATTCTCTGCATAATATTTACACCACACATTACCCTTTAACAGGACATCTCTACTGCCTCCAGCCATCGCCATGCTGCAGCATTTGTAACCTAAACCATACCACGGGCAGGGATAGAACCAGCGATCAGAGAGTCTCAAAACTCCAGACTGTCGCGTTAGCCACTGGGCCAGCTAACGTGATGGTCTGGAGATCTGAGACTCTCTGATCACTGGTTCTATCCCCGCCCGTGGTATGCTTTGTTTGCAATTGTGTCATTACGATTTCGTGAGTCATTTGCAACCCAAGCTTCACACCCACATAAAATTGTTGGTACCACCATACTTTCATATATTCCCTTCCTTGCCTCCATGGATAACGTCTTTTTTGTCTCCACAGAAACCTCAATGCACCATTCACCTTTTCTCCTTCATCAATTCTATGTTTAACCTCATCCTTCATAAACCCATCAACTCCCAAATACTATCTGAAAACATTCACTTCTTCCATACTCCCTCTCTCCAATGTGATATCCAATTTTTCTTTATCTAAATCGTTTGATACCCTCATCACCTTACTCTTATTTATGTTCACTTTCAACTTTCTACCTTTACACACCCTCCCAAACTCATCCACTAACCTTAGCAACTTTTCTTTAGAATCTCCCATAAGCACAGTATCATCAGCAAAAAGTAATTGTGTCAACTCCCATTTTGTATTTGATTCCCCATAATTTAATCCCACCCCTCTCCTCAACACCCTAGAATTTACTTCTTTTACAATCCCATTTATAAATATATTACACAACCATGGTGACATTACACATCCCTGTCTAAGACCTACTTTTACCAGGAAGTATCTCCCTCTCTCCTACACACCCTAACCTGAGCCTCACTATCCTCATAAAAACTCTTTACAGCATTTATTAACTTACTACCTATTCCACATAAATATATGATAAATAAATACTGAATAAGTAAATAAAATAATTGCTGTAACTAAATACCAGTATTGAAAAGTAAATAAATAAATAAAAGTTTATCCTATTAACAAATGTACAGTAATGTACAGCACAAAAAAAAGTGTTATAGTTTTATTGTACTATCATAAAGTCAAAATATTGTAAGTCAAACAATCAAAGCGAGGAGCACCTGCATACTAAACTAAATGTATTTCAGGCACTATGTCACATAACCTCAGACTCCATAAATCAATTTTGTTTTAATAAAATTGACAAATTAGCTACTACACAGTTCAAAAGTAAAATACAGCTCTCAATAAAATATAACAACACTGAAAGTTTGAAGCTGATCAGAAGAAGCATTCTCTAGTTATCATATGGAAACTTTGAAGGAAGACAAAAAGAATTTTAAGTCACTACAAGTTTTGCCTTTTGGGGAATGCCTAATAATATTTTACCTTGAATTCTGTATTCTAATGAACAAAAGACTTAAGAAATATAAATAAGATACAACAATGGAGAAAATTGGAAGCCAATCAGAAGAAACATTCTCAAGTTAGCACATGGAAACCTTAGTGGAAGAAAAATTCTGATAGCTACTATAAGTTCCACCTTTCAGAATATACCTAATTATATGTTACTCTAAATTCTGCATTTTAAAGGAAAAAACATTTATGAAATATAAGATCTCAAAAGATAACAATACAGTATAGTCACTACAGAACATACAAAAAGCTTAAATCCAAACCTATTCTTTTCATTTGTGGTAACTGTAGCTCTTCCATGAGCTGAATGTTCAGCAGGTGCTGGTAATGGTACATCCATACTTGGGTTTGGTGTTGGAGGTGGTGGTGGCATGACCTCACTCATGGAGTCTCCAAGACTGAGTGACTTGGAGGAGGAGGTGGAGGATGAGTGTGATGAGAGCTTAGGGACACGAGGCAGCCACCCAGAACCCCCACGAAGCAGTGGCGACATCAGCTCCAAATGTGCTTTTCCACAGAGATCATGGTAGAACATGCAAAAATAACCACAGCAGCCAAACCAGAAAGTTTAAAAAAAATGGAAAACAAAAACCAGAATTAGAGATATGTGATAACTGTATTTAACAATTCCATTATGAATAATAATAGAACATACAATTTTCCTCAAAGTCTTTAATCAAAAAAGTGCTGTTTTTTTTTCAACAAGTCAGCCCTCTCCCACCAAGGCAGGGTGACCCAAAAAGAAAGAAAATCCCCCTAAAGAAAATACTTTCATCCTTCAACACTTTTACCTCACTCATACATAATCACTATCTTTGCAGAGGTACCACGAAACAACAGTTTAGAAGCATATATAAAGATATATAACATATCCCTCCAAACTGCCAATATCCCAAACCCTTCCTTTAAAGTGCAGGCATTGTACCTCCCATTTCCAATACTCAAGTCTGCCTATACAAAAATAGCCCATTTTCCTGAATCCTTTTGCTAAATATTACCCTGCTCACACTCCAACAGTTTGTCATATCCCACAAACCATTCGTCTCCATTCACTCCTAACATGCACAAACATGCTTGCTGGAAGTCAAGCCCCTCACCCACAAAACCTCCTTTACCCCCTCCCTCCAACCTTTTCAAGGACGGCCCCTACCCCGCCTTCCTTCCCCTACAGATTTAAATGCTCTCCAAGTCATTTTACTTTGATCCATTCTCTCTAAATGACCAAATCACCTCAACATCCCTTCTTCAGCCTTCTGACTAATACTTTTATTAACTCCACACCTTCTCCTAATTTCCACACTCCGAATTCTCTGCATAATATTTACACAACACATTGCCCTTAGACAGGACATCTCCACTGCCTCCAGCTGCCTCCTTGCTGCAGCATTTACAACCCAAGCTTCACACCCATATAAGAGTGTTAGTACCACTATACTTTCATACATTCCCTCTTTGCCTCCATGGATAATGTTTTTTGCCTCCACAAATACACCTACCGTCCAACTTACGACCTGCTGGACATATGACCGTGTTTTGTATGCCAAATTTCTGGGAAATAAACAACTGTTTGTGAAGTACACAGTGTTTATCCCAAACCTTACAGTATAAAACACAGTACTAACAGCATAAAAAGTAAAGTAAAAAAATGAAATACCAGAAGAAAACAATAAAATAAAGTCATTACAAAAATGTGATGTTGATATTAGGTAGCAAGGTTCGACTTACATCCATTTTGACTTACGACCAGTTGGTCGGAACCAAGCTCGGTCGTAAGTCAAATGGTAGGTGTACCTCAATGCACCATTCACCTTTTTTCCTTCATCAGTTCTATGATTAACCTCATCCTTCATAAACCCATCTGCTGACACGTCAACTCCCAAATATCTGAAAACATTCACTTCTTCCATACTCCCTCTCTCCAATGTGATATCCAATTTTTCTTTATCTAAATCGTTTGATACCCTCATCACCTTACTCTTTTCTATGTTCACTTTCAACTTTCTACCTTTACACACCCTCCCAAACTCATCCACTAACCTTTGCAACTTTTCTTTAGAATCACCCATAAGCACAGTATCATCAGCAAAAAGTAACTGTGTCAACTCTCATTTTGTACTTGATTCCCCATAATGTAATCCCACCCCTCTCCCCAACCCCCTAGCATTTACTTTTTTCACAACCCCATCTATAAATATAAACAACCATGGTGACATTACACATCCCTGTCTAAGACCTACTTTTACAAGGAGGTAATCTCCCTCTCTTCTACACACCCTAACCTGAGCCTCACTATCCTCATAAAAACTCTTTACAGCATTTAGTAACTTACTACCTATTCCATACATGTGTAACATCTGCCACATTGCTCCCCTATCCACTATCATATGCCTTTTCTAAATCCATAAATGCAATGAAAACTTCCCTACAGCCGGTGTGTTGAAAGAAAGAAATATATGGTTTAATGTAAACACTTGATCTACACATCCCCTACCCAGTCCAAAGCCTCCTTGCTCATCTGCAATCCTACTCTCTGTCTTACATCTAATTCTTTCAATAATAACCCTACTCTACACTTTACCTGGTATACTCAGTGAACTTATTCCCTATAATTTTTACAGTCTCTTTTGTCCCCCCTTCCCTTTATATAAAGGAACTATACAAGCTCTCTGCCAACCCCTAGGTACCTTCCCCTCTATCATACATTTCTTAAACAAAAATACCAACTACTTGAACACTATATGCCCCTTGCTTTTAACATTTCTGTCATGATCCCATCAGTTCCAGATGCTTTACCCCCTTTCATTCTACGTAATGCCTCACGTACCTCCCCCACACTCACATCCTGCTCTTCTTCACTCCTAAAAGATGTTATACTTCCCTGATCAGTGCATGAAATTACCGCCTCCCTTACTTCATCGACATTTAAAAGTTCCTCAAAATATTTATTTATTTATTTATGTCTTTGCAAATAGTACGCTGAGATTATGTACGTATTTACAATAATGGATTACAATGCAAAGAGAGCCTCTATTATTCCTAGGCATTATTGGCTTACTGACTACTTAACACTAAAGAATTATATCATGGTTGTACAGTAGATCTATTAATTATAAGTAAATCTAATTTCTATAAAACAAAAGATATATTCATATATTCAAAAATGCTTTCTGTGAAACAATGATTCAATTATATTCCTGTCAACAATGGAAAATAGGTTCAAAAGTAATTACTGAAATTATGACATGGGAATAAGTATTGAGTATGGGAATACTGAGTATTGAGCATTTAGTCTAGGGTGACTGAGTGGCTTTTGAGTAGTCTTAAATTGATTTTCAGACTGGGCTACTTTAGTATTTTCTGGTAATGAATTCCATATTTTGGGGCCCTTTATGTGCATAGAGTTTTTACACAGTGTGATATGGACATGGGGTACATCAAAAAAGAGATCTGTGTGTTGTGTTATGGCCATGTGTCCTGTTAAGATTGGTGAGGAGAAGTTTGAGTGGAGGGTTTATATTTGTGTGTATTGTTGTGTATGTAGTAGGCACATGAATAAGTATGGATGTTCTTAATGGTGAGCAGATTTAGACTTTTGAAAATTGGTGGAGTATGCTGGCAGGAGTGGGAATTTGTTATCATTCTTACTGCTACCTTTTGCTGGGTTATTAGAGGTCTTAGAGGATTTAATGTTGTTGATCCCCATGCACAAATTCCATGTGTGAGGTAAGGGTATATGAGTGAATGATACAGTGCCAGGAGAGCTGATTGTGGAACGTAGTACCGTACCTTTGATAGTATGCCTACAGTCTTTAGAGATTTTCATGGTGATTTGTTGTATGTGTCTGGAACTTAAGGCTACTGTCAAGGTGGATACCTAGGAATTTTCCTTCTGCAAGTCTTGCAACTGGTGATCCATTTAGCGTTATGTTAATTGGAACATTTGCAACTTTGTTTCCAAACTGAATGAAATAGGTTTTATCAGTATTCAGGGTAAGTTTATTAGTCATCATCCAGGCAGATATTTTCTGCAATTCGGCATTGACAGTGTTGGCAAGTATGACTGGGTTTGGGTGGGTGAAGACGTATGTAGTGTCATCTGCAAATAATATGGGTTTAAGTAGCTGTGATGCATTCAGTAGATCATTGATGTAGATGAGAAAGAGGAGTGGTCCAAGGACACTTCCCTGTGGGACTCCTACTGTGATTGGTTAGGTAGAAGAGTTTGCACCATTTATGTACACATATTGACTTCTCCTACTAAGGTTTGACTTTAGGTAGTTGAGGGAGTGGCCTCTGATACCATAGTGCATTAATTTAGAGTACAGCAGTTCATGGTCGACTGTATCAAAAGCTTTACATAAATCAATGAAAATTCCCAGCGGGATTTCTTTCTTTTCGAGTGCGGTATATATTAGTTCTAGCATGTGTATGATAGTATGATGGTATCATTTGTGCTTTTATTATTCCTGAATCCAAAATGACAAGGGATTAATACGTTGTGTGAGACGAGGTAGGAACAGATCCATCTATGAATTAATTTTTCAAAGATTTTAGAGAGCAGTGGTAAGTTAGATATTGGTCTATAGTTATTCAAGTCAGCTTGGTCACCTCCTTTATGGATTGGAGTGAGCCTTGCTATTTTGAGGGTTGTTGGGAAGGTAGACGATTCAATGGATTTGTTAATGAGTGTTGCAATAATTGGTGACAATACTTGAGAAGCTTTTTTGTACATAAAAGCAGGCAAGTTTTTATGTCTCCTGCCTTGTTTTTAAACCTTTGACTGTTTTGGTCATATATATACATCTTATGAGCCACCGTGTTTGACATATACATACTCATAAATTCTAGCGGCTTCAAATCAAGCAGGAGAAAGCTGGTAGGCCCACATGTGAGAAAATGGGTCTGTGTGGTCAGTGTGCACCATATAAAAAAAATCCTGCAGCACGCGGTGCATAATGAGAAAAAAAAAATCCGACCGTTTTTTTAATTAAAATACCAACTTTGTGGTCTATTTTCGTATGGTATTTATGGTTGTATTTTCGTTTTCTTGATCTCATTTGATAGAATGGAAAACATATTATAGAAATCGAGATGATTTTGATTGGTTTTACTATAAAAAGAACCTGGAAATGGAGCTCAAAGTATGGGAAATGTTTGATTTTTGCCGACGTTCAAAAGTAAACAAATGATGTCATTGTCCAATAAATGTCCAACTAGCCATTCTAATATGCAGTCATGAATGGGTTGACATTATCTGTACAATTATTACAGTATTGCAGTAGTCTGCATAACAGTAAATCTTCTATTTTTTGTTTGAATAAAAATTGAAAATAGAAAGCAAAAGTTTTATCAGAGGGGCCTGGAGACGTGACTGATGAACAAAGAAAATGTTATTTTAGAGCCAGGAATGTCTGCATTGTTCATTCTGGACCTTATTTTGAAATTGTTATATTTTTTAAATTTTCGTGAAATTGGCCAAATTGCAAATTTCTGACTATGTTATTGGG